TACTTTTAACGATTTTATTGTTTTTACGTTTTTAGCAATATCTTCACTTCATGTGTATTTGTAACATTCTAATTTCCATTACTATAATTATATACATGAGTAATTTGCACACTGAAAATTTGAAAGAAAAAAATGCATCAGTACTTCTCACGTTATATACTATAGATGAATACATTTTCTCAATTTCGTCATAACAGTGGATATGACGTCACACTTTACCTACAATCCTTTGCCGAAGAATCAAGATGGCGGACTAAATTATACTAATGAAAAGTTGAATATCTAGAGAATGAAAAGTGATATAAAAAAACTGTAAATTACATTCTCCTGCATCTGTGGGGCTTTTTCTTGAGGGGTCATTATGTTGTTTGGCTTGATGTTTCCTTTAAAGCGGGAGGGTCGTCACCTGCGCACGCGCGGGAATTGAGTCCCAACAGACGATAACAATACTCGCTAAAAACGCAAAGGCTCATGGGTAGACGCTTGTTTGTAAGCAATGACACGCTATGGCCATCTGACGCATGCGCACGTGACGATTCCCCCGCTTTAACATTCATTTCTATTGCTATTTATATTTTTCATATAGAGCCCGTCCTTTGCCGTGTCGGAAGTTTATCTATAATTAACTAATTAATTAAGTTTTATTATCGCAATAATAATTTACGTATTGTCATAATTAACTGATATGCTAAGTATGTATGATGGTTGCTCAACAGTTGAGATATATAGAACGATTCCTGTGTGTATTTGTGAAAATAGCTGTCGCCCCCATAATAGAACTGTTTTATAACGAGGTTATTAAGGAACAATACTAAGTCTTGTAGAATTAACTTCCAGGGGCATCAATGAAACAAATGGAAACTAAATATCCCAATGTCAGTATAACTGTTTGATTGAGAGCATTTTCTAGTCTTGCAATGTGTTAAAAAGTACCATCGGGTTGTAAGAGACATAGACTAATAATTCATCACGCAATATGTTGTGTAACAGTAATGTGTTATTTATCTTAAAGGGGCACCTTCCAGTTAAGATTAATTTTACAACAAATTTACTTTCTGGATTAAAATAACAATGGATAACAAAAGATAGATTAACATTGCAAACAACATAAACAAAAGTGTCCCATGATTCTTTGGTGCAATCCATGGGATTGAGCGGTTCCCGTTTAAGGATGCGGTAGAGTTATCATGCTCTAAAAAGTAAAAACTGTTTTCATGAGGAAAAGTGTTTTGAAGCATAGCAAATTGTATATTTTCTTGAAGCCCTTGTTCCTGTCTTTTTGAAAAAAATGATCTGTGACATGTACCACGAATTAGTCACGTGATTACTGAGTAAACATAGAGGAGAGGGGGCAAGGGTTATTTTCGTTCAACGTAATTGCAATATATTTTTTTAAAGGAATTTAAAAGCCTTTTATTTGTTATTGCAAGAAGTTATCAAAAAATGCTTCAAGGGTTTTATTCTGCGCCAAACGTTATCAATGTGTGTGAATTTCATGAAAGTAGGTCAATTTCTGACGACGCATAACTCACTTGAATGACCTCTATGGCGTCAGATTTCTTCTGCTGGAAACGCCAAAAAACAAAACATTTGTCACGTTGTGCTAATTTTGGACATTTAAAGCATCAGATGGACTGATTTTTACAACAAAACACATAACATGGAGTCACTTAGTAGCCTTGCAGTAATAAAATCCAAAACTATTAAGTTTTGGGTCCGTATTCGTCCTCCAAAAAGAAGCGAAGTTGTTACAGTACACGGCGGCCCCGCATAACGTAGAACAGTTAGAGAGATAAATGACGTCATCTCATTATATATTCAAATCATGTTTACATGCGAAGCGTGGTCTGTATAACAAACGCTTGCCTCGTAACCGGAGAAAGAGGTTATTCCGAGGTCCAAGTGCATTAGTACTCGTACTGGTGTCAACCACTTCCCAAATAACTCGTACACAGTTGCGTTAGGGTAACCAGTTTATTCAAGAAAGCGGTGAAAACTATAACAGGATAAAGAAATCACATTTCAAATGACGTCATCGCTGACTGACCGAACGAGCGTGAACGACTTATAGAACAATTTATGGAAATTGCGAAAAATACACTTATCTAATTACGACACTCGGCGCTAAGGTGGCCTGATCAACTCATGAGTCAATAAATTCAGAAAAATAACTTACTTCGCTGAGTCTAGTGTTCTTTTAGAATGACTTTATGTAGCGATCTTCAGTCGTACAAAACGCGATTGGCGTACGCGTTTGAGACTCTAGCCCATAAAGTTATAGCGAACTCTGACCTACGCTGAACGTAACGCCCGCGCCTAAAGAGGGCGGTATACTATTAAAAGTGAAAGGGCGTTCAGCACAGAGGTCGACATGCCTAAACGCCAACCCCTAGTGCTAGTTAACTCAACAACATCCGACGTTTTGTCTTGTTCTAACAGACACTCGACTTCCACGGCAACTTCGGAAACGGCGTCCTTGTACGGAACTTTGTCGATGGATGGCCTGGCGGCAATCCCACATAAGACACTAGTTTTTTCAAACCTCGCCGACCTCTCCCAACTGCTCGTCCGACCAATACAGATTTTCGGTTGATATTAAATTGTCTGCCCGACTTTTTGGAAGATGGAAATTGATCATGTTTGCTGACGAAATTTTACCCTCTTGGTTTGAATACTCAAAGTGTGAACCCCATTGTACTGTCGGCAATGCGTTTCTGTTGTAGGTAAAGTTTCGCTTCCTCTGAACTGCGTTTTGAGTTTTTCCTTGGGACCTCTTTTTTGTGATTGATCAATAATCTGGAGCCGCAGTTGATATGAACGCGTCGTCTTCAGTGTGCACTGTTTCCGTCGTGAATGGATTATGCAAATTACGCAATAAGTCAATGTTATTGTTTGCGTCCAGACTTTTATCTCAAAAACAAATTGTACAGTATCCCGTTATACAAGTAGTTTTTCTTATTTTTTTTTTTTTTAAAAAAAAGGGTATTCTAAATGTGTTTTAGTTTTAATTTTGATAAAATTATGAGCCCAATAACTTTACAAAAGTAATAACAAAAAAAGCAAAATTCACGAAAATAACTCTACCGCATCCTTAAGTTCTCCCTTCAGTACAGTAACGTGTTCTAATTTATCTGTCATTTTCTAAAAGTTCAACCGGTTAAGACACGTGCATTGAGAGTAATACAGAGGTGCGTATGGTGCTGCCGAATACAAACTATTCAGAATGCTGCTGTTTGGTCAGATCATATGATTTATTGACAATTCTATGCGCTTAAAATTTAACTTTTAACGTTTTTTTTTAAATGACTATTACAATCAATTAGGATAATAAAAATACATACAACATAATAATATATCTTTTTTAAATCAATTTACAAATATATTCCATGCTACAAATTTAAATATTATTTAATGTTAATCCGTGTCCATTACACGCTATTTCGAGATGTATTTCACGCTTAGTTTGTCGTCGTGAGGTGTATGTCTGCTTACAGTGGTGAGGTGCGTGTTCGTGTGTTTGAATACCGTGCGTTGCGTGTTTATATGTTCGTAATGTACCTGTAACTTATAGTACCATAGAGCTAAAAAAGATCACTATGTTTTTAGACTTTCATTGGCTAGTGATATAAGGTTTGGGATAACAAGAAAAGGAAGTACATTATATAGTGTGGAATATGATACTATGGACAGTCACTGACAAAATGAGTTGCAAGAGATCTACTTTACTACTCACTTTACCAATCAACACATTTTATGATAAATATTTGGTACTCGTTGTCCAAAGTAACTATTCGAAATAGATACATGACAGTTTATGTACTCTGAATAGTTTCTTAGGACGATGATTACCAAATATTGTCCGGATCGAGAACTTTTTTTACTACTTTTATGAAACACAAAGTCAAGCCAAGTACGGGAGTTGTGTGTACAGTGGCCAAAACAATCATGTTTATAAGAGAACTCACGTGACCCAATTTTACGTGTCAGTGAGCCAAAGCGCTAGAACTGACTGGGCAATATTCAAAAATACCTGTATGAGACATTGCCGATGAATTAAATAATAATATAACAGAGATTGTTCACACAACCCGAATATCCCGAACAGGGGTGACGTGGTGTCAGATGACAACGCGCGACACCCGTCCACGCACCAGCCATCCCACAACGTACAACCATTGCTCCACAAATTTGAAAACGGACCAACCCATACTGTCGACAGTCCCCATAACTAATTTTATTTTATTTAATTTTAAGCGAATTAGGCAAAATTGTCAACAGTCTGAGCCCAACCGACCCAAGACTTTAAACTTAACCGCTACCTAGTTTTAATTACACTGTTATCGCTTCTATGCGTCGTTATGCTGCTGTTTGTATTCACTCTAACAGGATGGTGCTGTCAGTTTTGCAAACGATTTACTACCTGAATCAGCATATATTGTCAAACTATATATCTCCCTTCTCGAGATTATAGCAGTAAATCCTTCTTAGATATCGCCAGAAAAATCACGTAATAAATTCACTATTGTATTTTTTTTTAACAGAATAGTTTTACACTTTCCCGCTGCAAGCGCGTTTTGTGAATAATCTGATTATTAGAGTAAACCAAATTAAAGTTTGCAAAGAAGAACACCAGTATTTTCACCCTTTGAATGAGAGGAATTCGGATGAAGGAGACTACGTTTTGATTACACATATTTACGTTGAGGCTAGAAGGAGCACAGTATAGTACAAGTCTCTACGACAAACTCGAATTTCAACGTGCCGCCATGTTATGTCTGCAGTGTGACCTTTACCATGTTCACCTCATTTGGCACGTGTTTCCGCGCCCACCTGTGGGCATTCATGAATATTTAATAGCAATGAATTTCCTGCAGAATAAACCAGTCGGGCGATTTCGCGCTAACACCTCCATTTCGATTTTTTTTTTGTATTTAAACTACAAAAACAATTTAATCGCCCGACTGCGCCAGTCTACAGGCACCACAATATTTCGTACTTACCGTATTACACTCAGTTGAGCCTTTGTAAACGATACAGACGGTAACGAGGACTGGTAGTGCAATCAATAATTATACCATTAACGCGTGTTCTCTTGTAACTTTTTGTGTAAAGACATTCACTCGTTGACGGCACAGAACTGACTTCTTCTACTCGAGAACACTAACAGAGCTGTGTTGAGAGGTGGCACCACTATAATGGGAAATTTGAGCAGATATAAGCCTCGGTATGTAAACACGCACATCAAAGTGGAAACAGGCAGGCGATCTGCCGCTCAGCGGTTAGAGGCGGTGGTTTTGACCACGCTCCCTGACTGTGTTTTGACGAATGAATGAAGTAGGAACCAACAACGGTGTATCCGTATTTACATCCAGTATTGCGAGATTATTCAAGCCGGATAAAAAAAAATGTAAATCTCTTCAACTCGAATTACGTTTCCCATGATTGACTGCGTTGATGCGAGTGAATATTGTTGAACCAACGTCAAATTTACACCGAACACCGGCAATTGACACGGTGTCACTACTGAATTACCGTCGATTTTTGTTTAGCTCCGAGTAAATGCTAGATTTTCGACTGAATAACAGAACACAGACGGTGCACCATAGATGACAAAACACATTCGAACGGCTATAATCACTCATTCGGTAAGAAATACACGTTATGAGACTGCTGACACCAGTCTATTGTGTGTTGTCGCTGTACGGTGATGACCTTACAAGCTAATTTTATCGCAGAAATAACAATGTCTTGATACTTTTTACTACCTCTTAATAAGCGTGTGTTACTCCGGAGAGTGGGTTAATGTCTAGCCACACCCATTAGCCTCAGTTTCATAGTGTTGACCATGTGACTTCACGAATATGCATACAAGCAATGCATTTTATAGTATAAAAAGTTAGTTGACCCAGTTAATAAGAAGGAGGCAGGGCAAGAATTGAGAGAAAACGTGGGTGAGTGATTCACCTGGCAATAACTCCGAGTGCGTCTTTGTAGGCTTTGTGGGTCGACGCCTGGAAAATCCGGTCATGTAACACTCGAAAATATTGCATTGTATCGGTTGTCTTCAAATAAACATCCGGAATGGTCAACTTCAACGGCTCCGCTGAATTATTCTGCAAATACACATTCAAAACACATTTTATATGTGTGACACTCTCGTGACTGCACAGTTGTTATATTCATAATATTGTTCCCCGCAAATTTGGCCCTGTTTTCTGACACAATTGTGTGGTATACGTACCCATGGCCACCACACATGCAAACATGCCGGGTCTATGTAGGATCTCTCAATACAGTACAAAACAAAACGGACTGACTTCATGATTCAAATTCCAACACATGCGGACGTTGTGACTTGTGTACCTGTGTACGTGTTACCTGGTGCGTGGTACACTATTCAGAAAAAGATTAGATGTATCGCTAGTGAGTACAGTTTAAACTCACGCACCCGTCTGTGAAATGTATACTGGCATTCGTCATCAGGTTTGTTAGGCTATTATCCCGATGGAAGAATTTTGATTGATCCTGTCACGTCCCATCGATTGAAAACAAACACCACATTGTCCTGTGATAGGTGTCGGTCACCAAGAACTGATAAAACATCACGAGCTGCAAACCCGATTTTTGTTTGTACAAAATGAAGAAAAAGAAATAAGAAGAAAAAAACCGCTAAGAATAATATTTCCGATCACGTGATACATTGTATCCAAGTAGGTTAAAATAAATGTATGCGAACAAAAAGTAACTCTACAACCGTATATGTCGTATTCGTATCATATCATTTTGTCCCACTTCTTGTCCTACGTAAAATAATCTTGTACAATAACGTCTGTCCTTTTTTCTTCACTGTATTACATAGATGAAATAAAACACATCGATGTCAACAAAATTGCCATATATGACGTACCAATATGCGTTACATTCGCACCGGGGTTCAAACATTTGTGTCGTTCACTCACACTATCGTACCGCACTATCATACATTTTGTCACGAATGAATTTTGCCTGAGCTCAGCTCTCGTGTGCGCCAAAAAAATCGAATCGATCGACGATCGAAGATGAATTATATTACAAAATCAATATTCGTTGTGGAGCTTTTCCCAGTATACGAGATTGTAAACTGAGAACAGACTTCTCAAGGTAGAGTGAACTAAGTTAGTATTGGTCACCAAATCTGGAGGAGAACAACGCACTGGAGAGGAGCACTTGTAGCCAAGGTGTTTATTGCTCAACTGCTAGGCCTGGAACTAAGTCTAAATACTCACGTTATATTCCATACAATGTATCAATATCATTATGCAAATAACTAAACTAAACGTCATAGCCTCAAATCATTACAGAGATACACACCAGATTCCTGAGTTATTTTCTGATCAGTCAATACGTTTTCCCTATTTTATATAACGACTATTTCATGTTCAAGTTTGAATAGCAATGCATAGCGGGATTCATTTTTGTGCAGACAAATACAACTTTGTCGATAAACGGTGCATTACGCCAGTTTTCGATCAGTATACCTTTCAGAACTGCGTAAGTTATAACCAACTTAATGAAAATTCTAATATCAGCTAACTAATATCAATACCACGTGTTTAACTAAACATAGTTGAACTCTGGTGACCTTGCCCTTTGTTATATAATATAATTCCCTTTATCATAGTTTGTTTCAATATAAATATGCATTGTCATAATTAATTTTGAATACAAACAAGTTTTGGGGTTGAACCAACAGTGGGGAATCAGTCTACCGAATGTCCTTAAAAGATGTAAATATCTTACAAAAACATTGGTGCCTTATTTGTTTAATTATTTTAAGGAACATAATTTCCAGCTTTATTGAAAGTAATTGAGATATTTTAGAATAAAAACAAATGTCTCATTGCAAAAAACAGTGCTGCATTTAGATGTGAATAGATTCATAAAACATGCAAGATAACAGAAAAATTTAGCTGGCTTTAGTTCAAGTATTTTGTACAGGTGTCTGTCAAAAATGAATGATTCACTGAGACAAATATGAACTGCCTCATTGTGTGACTACTGTATTATATGAAAAATAAAAAAAAACATCCTTTATGTATAGCTATCATGTTGCAAGCTCTGCTTTGTATGCAAATCAACTTAAATAGTTGGTGTCCAGTGGAGGGAGAAGTCAACAGTACTGTTGCCTCCTGAGAAACACTGCAATCTCTGAAGTGCGTTTTTAAACTAGTATTATAAAAACTCTATCATTCTGTTCTAATAGCTGAAACATATTCCTGTGAGTTTTCATTTGTCAAATGAACTGTTTGTCAAATACAGAATACATATATTTTAGAATAATTTTCTTTCTAAAATGTGGATGAAATGTTTTGCTTTTAATGTATTTTTTATGTATTGTTTTTGATTTGATAACTTTTGACTAAACATATTTTCTATTAGCTTCAGATCTTGACCAAAGTTTGGCACCCAGTTCATAGCAGTGCTTATATTGATTTTCTGACATCTTGTTTTCTGTAAAGATTTTATTGGTAGGTTTGCAAATGTGTATCAGACTGTGCAATCTCTCCATGAGTTGGTTTTGAAACCCAGTATGGGATTCTGAGATACATTACCAAGGATATTATTACAAGATAAATCATTTGCTTCATTGAACACATACAACAATGCATATTTCCACTGAGATCAGTGACCTTTGATGTGTATCACCAGTGATCAGTCAAGTAGAAACAGTCAAAATATTTTATCAGATTTTCTCAATTTTTGCATGATATTTTCATACAGGACATCTGTTGTTCAAACTCAGGGAAGACTTTATACTGATGAATAAGGTGACCAAGTTTGATAAAGTTTGGAATAGAATTAGTAAAGTTATTATGCACACAATAACAATTAATAACGACGACGACGACAACAACAACGACAACGCCAAACAAAATGTTCCCTTAATATACCTTTCCCTTCCATCTTTGATGGTACGGGCAAGGTAAAAATGAAACAAATACAAATCAACAACTGACCCTAATAGGGTATAGTTTGGTAATCACTCAAAGAAAACAAACACAACAAAATACGGTCTTAATATTCATGAGAGACTTGCTTTTATGAAAAGACTACTAGTATTTTAACGAATTTTATTAATTATAAAGCAATTACACAAAGTAACCTTGTTGTTTTAGAGCACAGTTATCATGCTAGGTGACATTTTTCATCTATATGCTCACAACAATTATTTCAAAAGTGGAGACTTGTAACAAAAATGGCTGAGCATGTTGTTCTTGACTATCTGATTGTTTTTCAAAAAGTCACTTGACTACCTGAAAAATGTGACACCGTACAAACATATACTTCATGCATCAAGTACAACAACATTATTTTAATTGCAGGGAAATCACAAAATAGATGAAAAATTAATTAAATTAAATGCAAATTTAGTTCAACACAAATCATATTAATCGGTAGCCTGATTGCAGTTTATTTTGAGTATTCGTGACGTAACAAAAATACGCGCAAAGCCCTTAAACTTGGGAAGACCGTGACCGATATAACGGTCGGTTAACTGGTCTTAATTTCGGGTTTCAACGTTTACTGTGCAGTGCACAATTATTTAATAGTTATTAAAAAATGATCTGAAAAATGTGTTTATTCTATCCAATTAGTAAATATTATAATAGAATTAATGAGATGAAAACAATAATACACGAGCTTTGTGTGTGTATACAAGTAGTTAGTGTCAACAAAAATACGTCTTTACATTAAGTGGCGCCCTCTAGCGACGAAATGTCCTTGTCACGTAAATGGAGAAATGAAAGGCGATTTTATCTGCATCGATATTTTTTTTTTATCTGTAGTCGGATAATAATATTTTAGAGTTTTACTATATTTCTAGAAACATCTGCACAACCCACTATAGTTGTTGCTTTGAATGACATTCGCTTTTACCCATCTTCGTCACAGAAACAATTCGCCACTGGAGGACGGAAATTATTATTACAGGTTTGATACGATGTACTACAGTACTCGGAGTATAGAAACTACCACGGCGAGAAATGTAATTTCAAACTTCCAGAATACGACTTTAGTCGCTAGGCCAACGCTGCATGGGTTTTCGATGTCAGAGCGCCACCCAGTGGCAAAAATGCGAAGTGGAGCGCCGCTTCCTCCCCCTATTTTCATTGGAATTGCAAATACAGTGGCCCCTTTGGTGGGAAGCTGGTCCATATTGGCAACATTCTCAAAACCTGTAGAAAGAAAATGAAGTTACTGCTTTTCTGTCAAGTTTAAAGAGCCATGATCTGTGCAACTTGTTTTACTTTGTTTTGGATTTTGGATTTATGTAAACAAAAAAACAACAACATTTCGTGGTGTACAGAATACATCACATGTACACCAGTATTTTTTTTTCTCCGAAAAATGTTACATTTCTAGCTATTAGTATAAACATGGGACAGTATGATCATAGTTGTCTGACTTAGTGACGCTATGTTTCAATCGCGAAGCAGAGAAAACAGATGAAGGCTGCCGAGGCACTATAAGGGTAATATGGCGGCACCTCGGCGGTGGTGGCGTTTTCAGAATAAATAAGTACGCACGCGCGTTACTGTTTGCGCAGCACATGGGACTATAATATACTGACCCATGGACATTTGCGCTACACTCGAACCATATACATTTTATAAAGTCACAGAGTTTTAAACACGAACACGTCAACTGGGTCGGAGGCATAATACGAGTTCTCACCTGGTATATTTCGCAGGTATAGTATTTGGTGGGTAGGATACAAGGAAGACGGTGCGTGGTCCAGGGAGGGCGTGTCAATTCCAACTGCTTTGATCTGAAATGTACAATAACGACAATATACACGAGGTAACATGAGAACTATGTTCGATGTCGATAGAGTAATTCGAGATTATTTTTTTGAATTCAGCGAATCATATGTCATTCAATTTCAAATGCGTCCGAAAACTGTCACACCAGTGTGTGAATATTAGGGACCGTATTGTCTCACATGAACTTAGATACGTACCTTTCTATAGTCAACCAGCCACTGGGCGGCTTCGGGGGCAATGCCGGGGAAATGCAATAACGTGGTGTTCGTAGTATCTGTCCCTAAGAACCTGATCTACGACAAAAAAAATCAATGTGTTAGATATTTGAAAGCAGGCATCACTGCAAATAAGTAACTGTGACACACGAACACACAAGTCTACCTTATCTGGCCATCGGCTTCCCCATCCTGAATACACCATCAGTATGACGTCATCGGGGATGGCACCATTCTCTTCTTCCCATGCTTCTAAATCGGGAACAGTGAGCTGTGCATCCGGGTCTTCATCTGCTTTTGATTTTATATTTATTCTGATTGCAGGGCCGATAAGCTGATCTAGCAAAACTTCGTCAGCATTTAATTTTCCCTGCGAAAGAAAATATTCGATTTTGACAGATAAATATTTCATGGTGTTTTGAGTCTATAAATATTAAATTTGTGTTTAATTTGATCCACGATGCAGAAGCGTATGTGCTTGAGGTGATCACCAGTATTTTAGCGGAAACCAAACATGTTGATTCGTTGACTGCTAGTCACCTGGCCTGACTCACGCGTGATTCTATTCAAGCGAAAAACTCCTTTCGTTTCATTTTACAAATACTCAATACGCCACATAGATCAGTCGTGGTACCTTCACGTCAACGCCAGAGATTTTACGAAATTGTATTTTAAAGTGAATTGTTTTCTAGCTTTCCCAGAAAAGTTATGAAATATTTTCGCATACATAGGTCAGTCAAATATTTTTTTTTCTGTAAAATAGAAGGCAGACGTGTTAACACAGGAGGGGGTCAAGAAAGTAACGTGAATTAACGTACCTTTGACATATGAACTGGCGCGTCCATGTGGGTACCAAGGTGTTCGGGAGTACAGAAACTATTGGATTCTAAATACAATTCACCGCCCATGGTGTAGTTTTTGATAAGCACGGTCAATTCAAAATCGTCATAAGTTGGCCAATGTAATGTGTCCTTGTTAAGGTGTAGGTCATGTCCAAATACATCGAGTCTGTATCACATGTAACCTTGGTAACAACGGAGAACAGGATACACCAAATGTACAATTCTTTCATGATTATACTTGATATTAATTCTGGATCTAGGAGATTAGAAATCTTGAAAAAAAAAAGAATACATAGATAGCATGTTATCGACGATCATTCGCCTTCACGACGGACGATACATTGAAATTACAAAACATTTAGCAATGATAAAGCCATATATATGTTATATGGGTATATATATTGTAGGTGACCTAGTTGCAAATGAAAGGACTTCTGAAATTACACAGACTTCCCGATTTTTAAAATAAGAATAACTCGTGTATAATAATCTTGAAAAAGGATTTCAACAACCCCATATATGCAGGCAGGGTGGTAGCAGTAACGTTATAGCGAATGGAATAAAATACATCCACCGGGCATACGCCAGTGTCCGTTAACGGTTTACTTTGGACGTTTCTTTTTGCAGTACTTTCACTCAAATATAGTTTTTTTTAGTGGATTCTCGTATATAATATGCCTTGTTATATATGAACATAAACGTTCTGCTGGTAGTATATTGTGTCTATGTCATTTTTGAAAATGAGGTGTATGAGGTGAAGCGAAGGTGAAGCATAGTTCAAAATAAGACAATAATGTAAAATATTGTACACATTTACAGTGTGTTTCTCTGATCAAGTGACGCGTAGGAACTCGTCTGTGGAGACACGTATATTTTTATAATAAGTAGAATATACAAAAAATCATCGAGATTGACGATTCAAATCCACGTCGGTCTGTATGTGTAAGATTTATAGGTTGATGCGTTTCGTGCACCACGTACTCCTGCTAAGACAATTGAACTGCGAAATAGATGAACGGAACATAGCTGACAGACTTATTGTTCCACGTTACATTGATTTGTGATACCCTTTGACACACTGTGCGGTGAATAAAGCTATTATGTGTTGGACTAGTACGTCCATGGTTGCAAAGACTCGTCAAATAGTATATTATATTTATAGAGTTGTTCTGACGTCTCATACAATGGCACAGACTACACGGAATCTAGTTCACGCAATTGAACACGAATCTTCCCTACCCGAATAAACTGTTTTTGATAAATTACATTCCCGTGTTCATGTAGAACACCTTCCCTTCATTATTGTGATCACCATAAAAACTGATAACAAATCCTGAAACATTTCATCCCTGACAGAACAATGTCGTAATAATAACTCACGGCCAAGTTGATGCCCGGGTCGATGTACATTAATTCAGAAGGCCTTTATTTTTTTTTATTTACGCCTATCGCCCCTCCTGGGACATAGGCCGTCAACCAGGTTCCTCCAGGCAGAGCGGTTCTGAGCCAGCGTCTCCAGTTCTTTCCATGTGCGGCCCATCTTCTTAACATCTGCCTCCATGTCTCTGCGCCATGAGTTACGAGGCATTCCCCTCTTCCTTTTTCCTTGAGGATTCCAAGTCAATGCCTGTCTAGTAATATTAGGCATTGGTTTCCGTAGGGTGTGGCCAATCCACCGCCATCGTCTCTGCAAGAGCTCTGCCTCAATGGGTTGCTGATGAGCAATCTCCCACAAGAAGGCCTTTAACTGAATTCGATTTAACGATTCCAGTCGATCAGAATTCTCACGAACTGAACAAAACAACAATCTCTTATTAATGGGACAGTGGAAGTTTCACTTCACGTCACACCACGTCACACCACGGTCACTTGTTTTTAGTAACTGTTATCTTACAAATTGGGAACTGTATCCTTCAATTAGAAGTGACGAACAGGTTAACCTCCAGGCCGCGTTAATGCATGCGAATGTTCCAGTGAGTATGCCACTCACAAAATTCGGCAATGAGTTAGATAAACAGCGAACCTCAATAACAAAGAGCTTAGCTACACCGCGGTTAATAACACCACCAACAACTTTCTGTCACTGTGGGCACGATCTTCTACAAACAAAGCATTGAAACACTATCCTACCATTGACACTTCAATGTTAGGTAATATGTTGATTTCACTGCGTGGAACGTGTAATCACGACAAAAAACCGGTACTTTTTCCAATGAGAAACAAATCGGTAACTCTTACCTTTGAATTAAACGTACCGATCAGTGAAATCACTGCCTATTTGAAGTTGTGTGTGTTTGGCCTCAGACAACAAATTGGCGCAGGTCAATCACTTCTACCTCAGACTACTGTAGAAAAATCAAAATAATGAGAAATACTACTATAAATTGCTCATTATGTATTCATAAATATCGTAGACGAAAGAAAGGAATATTAAAAATGCTGTAACTCACCAAAAGAATTGTCTATTTGAACAGAAGGATTTACGACTATAAGGTCAAAACTCACAAGTGTGCGCATGTGCCTTTGGCACTAGAATAACATAACGAAAACATACGAAGCAGGTAAATGCAAGGTCTGCCAAGGCTCGCATTCCAAGGGCGTAATCGCCAATTCACATTCACAACAATAGACGTTGCTAGTCTGTTCTATAGTAGTTTGAGCGTCTACGATGTACACAAAGGGAACATTCAAGTATGTAAATTATGGTGGTATACAGACAGTATAAAGGAAAGATCACAGTCCCTATATCTACTTGGGCAACTTGAATAAGAAGGTCAACGACTGGTTGAAGATGCATTTCCAGTTCGTAAATTTGCGAAGTTTTGTTTCCAGAATAAGATTGACAATACTGGTAAACATTGTTTACTTATTCCTCAGTCCCCTCTATGCCAATCTTTTTTTTAAATTTGGGTTTAATTAGTTATTTTTATTATACATTTTCTTTTATTTTATTTGCCGTGTAATTCATTATATTTTAACCAGAGTGCCCCATTCTAGCCTCACAAGGTTGCGTGAGCTGCGCCCTCTGCGGTGCTCCAAACCCAACACTGTACGCCGTAGGGTCTTATGTCGTTCGGTCGGCGAGGGCGCCACTCACGCCTACATGTCAGGCTACAGGAAACAACTCCTGAAATATCTTATTTGTACGTGTATAACCTATACACATATTAGTATATAGTCAGGGGGGATATATTCATAAGCATATAGTGTAGTATAAACTTTCGTAAAAGCGGTTGTTTCGCCTTAAAAAACAGAGTAAAATGTATAATCTGCAAGACAGACTGTAAAATTCCAAGGTGTCTCTGTCTGTCACTCATTTCGGTACATGTATATATATATATATATATAATTGTTCTTTTACATTTCTGACAATATTGTAAAATCATTCAATTTTAATTTCGCTATTTCCGCTGATAAGTAAAATTCGCTTATTAATAGAATTTACGTGAACATGTAAAATAATAATAAAACTCATTGTTTTCTTGACAAATTCGTGAAATTAAAACACAGCGAATATGCTCGAAACATCAAAATAGTGAAATTAAATGTCAGTGAAAATAAATGGTTTTACAATATATTACTTTGATATTTATAGTTTTGTTAGGCTTTTGAGAAGTGTTTGTCCCAGATTATCCAGGACTGTTTATGTTCGTACAATCTAAGGTAACAAATTGGTTAAAAGTCGTCCTTTTCTTCCACTTAGTCGTCAAGTGTTAGGATGGCATTATAAAGTATAATTAACAATGCAACAATATAGAGAAGATTGTGGCGTGTATATATTAAAATGGGGCAAAACTCCAAAATTGTTATTTTTGGGTGGCAAAGAGTTAGACTTTATATTTGTTTATGGTTTTAGTCTTAATATAGTAGGCGTGTAGCTTGTTGTCAAACCAATCAGGGTTTAGATTTGCCGAGGTTTACCCAACAAGCTCTGCGAGCTTTTGTATTCCATGATAGATATTCAAATGTACCTCTATTTTCGCCTGTAAATGCCCACGAATACTGTAGAACACGTTGACATAGCTGCATGCAATTTTAGCGGATTTGACTCTTGGCAGAATTAACAGAATCTTAATTTAGCTAAAGTGTCAACTATCTCATTGTGAGAATATACTGTCTGTTAAATTAGCTACATCTTGAATTAGCGATATTACAGATTAGCTAAATTAGCTAAAATAACATGCTAGCTAAAAAGACATGTTTTGCAGTATTTCCCTTAGCTTACAGATATGCCAAATTTTGTTTTCATTCAGAAAGTAAAGTCGCTGTGTTATTTAATTACGTTTTCATTGCCACAATAATGACGTACAAGTATGGGCAGTAAAAAACATAAAATAACTAAAAAAAATGACTAAAAGACAAAAAATTTAAATAAAAAAAATATAACACAAGTTAAAATATACTGGTACAAATCACGAACACAATTACAGACAATTTCACTAAAATACAGCAATAATATGTATATCTATAACATTGAAATGAAGTACTCACCTGGAAGGGTGTTGCTGTCTTAGTTCCATGCAGTGTCTGCACGCATGGCATCTTTGGGTGGGTGTTACACCCAAATATAATTAATGTTTTTTTGTCATTTTTATTTCTTTGTCTTCGTAGAAGAAAATGTCGTTGATAAGCAATTTTGTTGAACTTCAGGACTTTTTTTTCTGTTTTGACAGTTAACTGTCACCGTCTAGGAAAGTTTATCCATGCACGCCTGTAGCCTTGTTTTTGTTTCAGATAGTACCACATCATTTTCTACATATAGAAGACAATTGGAGTTGGTTGGTTACGGTGAATTACAGGTGATTGGATCAAATATACCCAGGAGATCATTTATCATGAACAAATGGAAAGGATAAGAGCTTTTATTACGTCTTTGACTTACACCACACGTTGAAATAAATTATTTAGTTAAGCCACTTTATATTTTAATATATTGTATATATTTTTAATGGTTTTATATATATTGCCTCTAATGCGGTAGTTTTTTTTTAAACATACCTTCACGCCAGTCACTGTCAAATAGGTCTATAAAACAAACATATAGTCGTTTATATTTCTTTTTTTATTTTTTTTGTCGTTGAATTACCAGTATGTTGACTGTGGTACAGAGATTTATCAACAATCCTTTTCATAATCTGTGGTGCGGCGCTTTTTTTCTGAAATCAAATTAGGGACTAGAGAATGCTATTCTCTTCTATGCAGTTAGTCTCACGTTCAGTAATAGTTTCCCTGGATAACTGGACATAGCTATGCCAATAGGAGTTTGGGTTGATTTGGATCCTGAGTTATGAAGTGGTACTATACACAAGCTCCATGATTCGGAGAATATATTTGAAGAAAAAAAAATAAATAATTTCTGTACATCATCTATGAGATAATGTTGGCCACGTGTGAACAATTCATTATTATTA